CACGTCGGTGTGCCTGTCCCTCTCCACGTATGCGGATAGCCCGGCGTCCTGGACGGAGGTATTTGGGGAGCATGGTCCACCACGTCTTGGATGAGGAGGAGGAGGAGATGCGACGGGGATGCACGTGGGAATAGGGCGGCGATATGGCGGAGGGAGTCGGGGAATACCAAGAAGTCACAATCAGTCAGCCAAGTCAGCCAGCGTGGTTTCGTGCGCGTGTGTGCAATGTGTGGGGAGCTTTAGGTGCGTGAGTGACCGGCCGGCATGATGCGTTGGTCCTGCGGGCTGCCGTTTGGGGGGTTACCTGGGGAATGCAGACGAGGGAGTGTGTAGATCGGTTGATTTGCTGTGCTTGAACCAAGGGGGCGCGAGGTTTGAATGTCTTTGGTAGAGCTGTCTCTCACGGGCATGGTTGAAGGTGGTGAGTGGGTGGATAGGTAGGTCGTTGTAACTAGGTGCGGTCTTAGCAGAAGTAGACATGAAGTAGAGACGAGGGATGGAGATGTTGTGGAGGATGTATTCCCAAAGTCACTCTTTCTTTGACGCCGTGATACTACCCCTTTTGGTCTGAGACGGTGGATGAGATGCTGCCTCGTTTGGACTGGTGTTTGCCTCATCAGGGGACATGGAAGATGTTTGGCTTGGCCCCCGGGATGTAGGGGTGTCGTTGAAGATGTTGGGCATACTGCAGGTCCAACCCTCGCAGCGGCATTTGCGTGGGTTTTGGCTCCTCATTGGTGATACTAGGCTTTACTTTTCTTGCTGCCGCGCCGTTTTCGTTATATTCTGTAAGCGACATGTCGGCCGTGTAAGCAAAAGACTCAGGTCATCCAAGTCATTGAGCCACGGGGTGGAGGGAGCTAGGCAAACCCCACCTTGTGGATGGTGAGCTATCAGGGACCAAGGTTGTGTCTCTCTCTCCCTGTGATATGTGAGGTGTATGAAGGATGAGGTGAGAGCTCTTGGTTCTTTTTGCTGTGCTGTAATCTTTGCTAAGCTTAGGGAGCCTTGTCCTCTGCCCGACTGGGGACGGGCGATCATTACGCGGGAGATGGACTGGCCACCAGATGGATGGGGGCAATGGAGCCCCCGGGGAGGGCGGGATCAGGCGGTTGATGGCGCCATCTAGGTTGGACGTTGTGAGAGAGCGAGACAAGAATTGAGTGGGAGGGTGATCATGGAGCCCACCGCGTGTGGGACGGCAGATGAGAAAGGGCGCTCTCTCATGGGGGATTGCAAAGGGGGACGACGTTAAGCGAACTCTCTGTCTTACTCGCTTCTCGCTTCGCTTGTAAGTTTGAGGGGGCGGTCGTGTGTCTATCTGCCTAGAATGGGAGTCTAATGTGGGCTACTCGGCCGTTGGAATGGATACACCAACTAGGAAGAGGGATGTTAGGACTTCAGATGATGGCGGCGGGGGAGAAAGACAACCACATGGTTCATGGTATTTACAGGCTATATGGGCAACGGTCGACGGTCTGTCGGATCAGGGACCGGGACGGCGGAACCGGAAGGTTTCTTTCAGATGACTTGTGCGGGTGTGGGTTCGTCTCTGTGAGGGCTTGAGAGACGGTTGAAGCATGTAGATTACAAGAAATGGGACGGACACAATTAGCACGGTTCGAACGGTCTGGAGAACGGTCCATGGGTTTAAGTTTGTCGCGATGGAGACTCTGGGCAGCAAAAGAACGCGCGGCGTCGACATAGAATCTGATATCGCCGGCGGGATATGGACACCCGGCGCCGACTAACACGTTCGCTTGCTTACTAGACCCGGGCAGATGGGTAATCGCAGAGGTCATAGCGTTTCTCGGCCGGAAGGTAGATGCTTCTTCCATTCGGAACATTTTCATTGCTTCTTTTTCTGGAGTTGCGAGACTTTCAGACCCTCATGAGCCGTTTGATCCTCAGGGGAGACGCAAAGAGTGGTGACAATGGTCGGTGGACGGTGGACGTCGGTGGGTTTTGGGTTCAGTTTTTGGTGTCTTGGTCCGCGTCTGCGATGGATGTGAGGCCGTTTGCGTATGCGCAATGCGTGTCTTGGAAAAACCAAAACCGTAGGAGGCCCTTTGTGCCTACGTAAGTCGACGCGTTGGCGTCGGTTTCCGAGACGCAAAGGGAGACGAAAATGTGGGAGATTAACGGAGTCTTATGTAGATGGAGAAACGGCGCCAGCGGGGGTCGGTTGGTGATTTGAGACGGGGATGGCTCCTCGACGGGATGTGGAGGCCTTTTGAGTGGTTCCCGACCTGGTGGGAGAGGCAAGGGGAGGGGGGTAATGGGGGGCGTGTCAGAGTGAAAAAATGAAGGGTTGTGTTTGAGAAAGATGAGTGTCTTTTTTGGAAAACGGCCGATGATGTGGGTTATCGTTGCATCGTTCTAAGAAGCTTAGTTGGTTTGGTGATGTGCATGTATTGAAATAAGAATGGGTGTCATTTGGTTGGTTCGTGGTGGAGCGGAGGTGTTGGTTTTGAGTTGACCGGGATTGTTGGGGGCTCTTTGAGACTACCGTCGTCTAGCACAGATAGGCTCGTTTCTTTCTCGTCGACTGACGTTGTTTCGACATCTGCAAAAATTCTCCGAGGATGATCTCGCAGAAAAAGAAATATGCGTGGTCTGGACTGCGGTCCAATCCGGCTACAACGGAGGCAGGGTGGCGACGGCGGCGGTTTACCAACCTTCTGTGATATCACCGAGAGCAACATGTTCAAGACTCAACGAAACGATGGTTGCATATCGTGTCTCAGAGAAACCTGCGAGCGTTTTCAGCAAACGTGTACTTGCGTCATTGTGATTTAGACAATGTGTTGGTCTACGTCGGTTCTGAACCAGGTTTCGTGATTTCAGCAAGGCTTAAACATGTATCAAAAATTGGAGCAAAATCGATTACCTGTCTAAGGGGCTATCATTGTGGCCTTGGTCATTCTCAACCGGAAGGACCAACGTACCTCACACCAGATATGTACCATTTGATCAAGGAGTTGACAGGCTTTCAGGGACGAACACTGGGATCTCAACGCAGCTGGTTCTCAAAAATGAAGTCCTCAACAAGCATGCTCAACGAAAGCCTTTCCATTATATTGGCCGGCTGAATCAGTAATTGGTATTGTCACAAGAGGGGCAGTGAGACGGCCTGTTGATGTGTGACGGTAATGAGCTCGATCATGTGTGCAATCTGGCAAAGCTGCTATGAACCGAGCTACGTGGTCTTGACCTCCAAACTTTCTCCTTAAACCCAACGTGTACTGTGCGGCAGGCCGTGAGATATTACTGGATCAAGTAAGAGAGTAGATGCATTTGTATTGCTCGGGGGGGTCAAAGGCAACAAGATGCCTCGAGGTTGCGACCATCGAGCGCAACATACACAAGCTGTAAAGTTTCTTCCTCCCACTTGGCGTCTCGAGAGTACTTTGTTCAGATGTACCAGGGATGACGATGTGTCTTTCCGATGCATCCTGAATCTTTGGCCGGATGCTCATCCCGTTCCAGATGAAAGAAGTCGATGATGGATGTTCTTGTCGTATGTGTATCATCTTCAACTTCGTCCGCCTGCTGTATGATCCATCCACGGGCCGCCATCGATGTTCTACTTTGCTCGTCAAAGCGACAGTCCGGATCTCTCGAGAAACAGATCGAGAAGCTTCTGATGTATGGTCTCTTTTCCAAGTCGGATTTGACAAAGTGTAATGATTCAAAGGTATGAAGTGTCCAAGCGCAGGTCAAATCGCAGGAAGCTCTTCTGGCCATGTGTATTTGAAGAGATTCGAGGCCTCCTTTGAATACCTCCAGTGGTTCTATCAAATTCCCGACGCACGAGATGCGCCTTGAGTCGCTCACCTGGGGCTTATAAGAACAATACCTCCATGGGAATCCCTCCAGACGAACGTGGCGGACGAGACTCGCATTGATGGCCCCGATCGTGCGGACGAAATCCTGCACCTGGATGCGATAGGGGATAGGTCGGGGGCCGGCCGAGGCCAATGCAAATCGGTTTTTCGAAAAGAATATGACGTAGGCTTCCTCGTAAACCCCCTTGCAGGTGAATAGGATAGACCTGGAGTCGCGCTCGCTGCGATCGGCGAACTTTGTTGAGATCGGTCGGTAGAAACCAGGGCGGACGAGAACTAGCTCGTAGATCCGCTCTCGAAGCTCTATGGGTAGCTCTAAGAGTCTGAAACTTCTTTCGTCCCTCCGAATATTCCTCCTTAGCGCTTCATCTTCCTTCTTCCTGATCCGTTTCAGTTTGTTCCTCTTCTTGGGTGCTTTCTTGAGTGCTGTTCGCTCCGTCTCTTCCGGTGATTCGTAGAAGGATGGATACCAGCGGTCAGGTATGAAAATGCAGATAGCCACGCAGGGGCAACAGAAAACGCAACAGACAACTGCGATAAGATCCTCGACAAGGTCATAGGAAATGAATCCTGGAAAAGATCTACTCATCTTGACGCCCGTGATGTTGCCTGGAGGACGGTCGTGACATGCTCATAGAAGCGTATAGAACTGGAAAATGGACAAGTTATGCTAGAAAACTCGTCTCACCAGCTGTCATTCAAATTTTTAACTGTTTGAGAACCTCACTGGGTTTGATGGCGGTTCCAGGCGCTCCAAAAAACTGGACTTGCGTCAATACCCTGCTGGAGCGTGGCACAGGACACGATCTTATATCGGATTCACTCATGGAAGTCATCCAAACCGCAATCTCAGGCTAATTGTGCTAGAAGCTCGGACAAAATTCAAATTTGGACTACACATCGGCTTTACAAGATAGAAGGGGAAGGTTGTCGTCGATGAAATGAAGCGTTCTTCAACATTTGAAAGTTAACAGACAACCTAAGCAATATAATATGTCTGTCATCCGAATCCGTAATCCAAAAAGCTTAAGAAGCATGTATGTGCTAACATCTCTACAGATCAACTTCGTCATCTCCATAGTATACACACTATTTGTGTTGCAACATCTTGAGCAATCTCCAGGACAACTCTCGCGGTTCCTCGAATACAGCCTAACAACCATCTTTGGATGACCGGTTCTGCAAAGAAACTCCGTGCTTCTTATAGATGTACTCTTTGTAGTGCAACAACTTGTACAGATCCTCAGGCAAGCACTCGCGAACCCTCAAGTCGACACCAAGCTCCTCTTCTATCCAAGGAAGCAACGGGTGAGTAGTGTCGACCTTGGAAGGCTCGCTCACTTTGATCCATCCGCAAAACTTCAAGATACTCCTCATCGAGATCTGCTTGCGATCCGCGTCCTTGGAAAGAGGCGTCATCTTGACAGAGAGTGACTTGATGCCCTTAATTCTTCCCATCGTGGCGTAGACGGCAGCGAGGAACGCGTAAACTTCGTCTTCGGGGTCAATACCCTTTGGAATTTTCCGATCCTCGTGAAAGGCATCCTCGATAATTTGGGGGTCTTCTGGAGCTCGCGACTGATTCGACTTTTTCATTGCCCCGCGCAAGCTCACCGCGGTGTCGTCGGGCATATCAATCTCCACGGAGTCGAGGCCGTGGGAGAAGTTTTGGAGGTGGGTGACGATCGGCTTCACGTTATTGCTCAAGGGCTTCTTGTCCTGCCACGCCGACCAGGGGAAGCCTCTCAGAAGGACGCGACGGATGACACTGACGTTGGCGCTGCTGGCGTGGTTGAAGAAGAACTCCATGTCGCTTTTGATCGAGATCGAGGGCTTGGGCTCGGGCTGGCCTCTCCAGCGAGTATCTGCTTTGGCGGCTTCTCTCTTTGCTCTGGCGGATTCTCTGGAAAGTCTCTTGGCTGTTCTGTCATCCTCGTTTTCTATTTTGCCTGTGAGGACCGCTGCCTTTGGCGCTTTCGTTGGCGGACCGGAGGGCGGGCCCCACGTCGTGGTGTACTTGGTGTAAAGGCCTGGCCCAAAGGCAAAAGTGTTTTCTCGATAGAGGACTTCAATGGCCTCTTGGGAGATCTTCTTGCATGTAAAAATGATGCTGCGCTTGAGGAACTCGCCAGGGGTGATGGGGATCTCGTTGGGGGTGTTGGGGATCTCGTCAGGGGTGAGCTGGCGTGGGCGTATAGGCTTTTTCCGGACCAAGAGATGACGATACACCTCCAGTCGAATCTCGCATGGCATATCGAGAATACCCAATTTGGATGATTTGGGTCGATTCATGTAGTAGGGGATCGAGCCCACCTCCACTCTCATTGTCTCCGTCGTGGTTGTGGTGGTAGATATGACTGTGACTGTGGCTAGCTGATCCTCTTGGTAAGGTACTTTTGTTTTTAGAATGTTGTTACTCTATGAGATGTGTAGATTAAAGGCAAAGATCTAAGTGGCATAAAGAGAGAGAGAAGGCATCATATATCAGCGCCTGCGTTTTCGGAGAAAGGAAATCACCATTGTGAGCCCGCAAAACTTTGAAGCTATCTGCGACCTGTTTGATCACACCGTAATCGAACGTAACCAGCCAGGTGCAGGAGAGAATCCGTACAAATCCTAGCTCCATATTGCATCAAAACTTTCGGTGTCTGAAACCCAGTTTGCTAGATATTGCATCAACACTTACTGGTGGTTGAAAGCCAGCTTAATAGTCACGGAGCCGAAACCACCACTCGGCCGCTTCCGGGGCCGAATGGGCGTCGGTTGTCGTCTGCCGGGGGCTCTGCCAGCCTGTAAGAAATCGGTGAGGCGGCGGTCAGCAACGATACAGCGGGGTATTGGTGGGGTAATATGCACTATCGTTACTTTTTCCAACGGGTGCGGCACCCATCCATCACTTTTCGCCTCCCCGAGCTCGTTGACATATGTGCACTTTCGTGGTTTGACTGGCAGACATGATTGTTCAACTCGGCTCGGCGTAAGAATATGGACAGCCTGCCTCGGACCCGATTGCCACATTGTTCAATCAAATCAGCCTCACTTGCTGTGTCAACCAACTAGGGGGCGACGGATCTACTTGCCTCTCGGATCTAGACCGCGAACGCCTCGATGACTCACATGCGAACTCGTCATCCGCTTGGTTATCGAGCGCATCCCTGGGCTATAATTCATTGGTTACTGCAGCCGAATGGAAGTACGAATCTGCGTGCGGTTTTGTTTTCTCACTCATTCGAGAGTGATAGGCACTCCGAATAGCGAGTCCAATCGAAGGCGATTCCGAGACGGGAACTACACTGCATCTTTAGTGAGCTGCTGATGACGTTGGCCGCGTCGACCACTGATTTCCGCTCGTTCATCCGGGGCTTATAGTCACGAGGCAAAGTTCCATGAGGGTTGCAAGAGACTTCTTAGTCTCTGCATCGCCCTCTTTTAATCGATTCGCCACCCAGGCAGTTCTCAATTACCCACTCCTACGAATTAGCCTGCCTGCTTCTACGCAGTAGTCGAAGACTCACTCCAAACCCACTCATCAGCTTACAAGGCTGTGTGGCGTACTTCTTATTTGATTGTGTCATGCATAGTACTTTCTTTTGAGTAATTGTTAGCCTTTCTGTCTTCATTGGTGTTGGTTAGGCAGGAACACTTACGCAGCCTGAACGCGTTACTCCCAAGTTGTCTTGGTTGCCTCTATTGCTTTCCAAACGTCGTCCGAACTAAGGTCGTCTTTGAAGTCGCCTCAACTGCTGCCTTGGATTGAAGGACTCATATAAATATAACCTACAAGAGCCTCATCCAACATCTTCCACTACTCCAACCGACGTCATTGCAACTTGGTCGCAAGATGATGGACTTGGGCAAAATGGACTTCGCAACATTGTTCAAAGGCAACTTCTCCGCCATGGCCGAGAACATGACCGGCGGAAAGTCCTACTCGGGGGACAGCAAGAAGATGATGGAGAGCCTTCTGCCCATGCTGGGTGGCCAGTTCAACCCGGTCGTCCGGTCTCTCATGTTCCTCTACCAGATGATCGGGTCCCATCTGGGCATCGACCCGACGCTCATCCTGACGTTGGCGGGTTTCATCTGGGCCGCGAATAGGGTCGCCCGGCAAGTGTACGGTGCCATCTTCCGAGTCATCCAGGACAACTTTATGAGTTCGATCCACGTCCAGAGCACCGACGAGATCTACGCGCACATGATGAAGTGGCTCGCACTGCAGCCACTGATGGCGAGCTCGCGGTCGTTGACCGCGGAGACTGTGAGCAAAACGGCGTGGGAGGAGGAGGAGGAGCTTGAGGCGCTTCAGACGATCAGGATAACAGGGAGTGGTGACGGAGAAGCCGAGTATCTCAACTTTTCTAACCAAGAAGCCAAAGCTGTGAGTTAAAACCCCCCTCCTTGTTGCGCAGCCCGTACTAAAACTGTGTTTAGCTTCCGAGATATGTACCGGCGGTTGGTGTCCACGGTTTCTGGTTCAAGGGCCGCTACTTCAGACTACACCGCAAGCAGCAGAATGTCTTCGACGGCCAGGAAGCTTACGGAACCTTTAGGAAAGAGGAAGACCTCATCATCTCCTGTTTCGGCCGGGACCCGGCGCCCATAAAGGAGCTGCTTCGTTTTGTCAAGGAGTTCTTCTACTCAGATCACTATGCTCGCACAACCATCAAACGCCCGAGTCCGCAGCCGATGCGCAGGTACGGAGGCCGCTATAACTGGTCGCAGGTGGCCAACCGCCCCGTCCGCCCCATGCGCACCGTTGTTCTCGACCCCAAGCAGAAGGGCCAAGTTCTCGCCGACATGAACGAGTATCTCCACCCGGCCACCCCTCGCTGGTATGCTAACCGCGGTATCCCCCTTCGTCGCGGGTACCTGTTCTACGGACCCCCGGGAACAGGAAAGACGTCGCTGTCCTTTGCGTTGGCTGGCGTCTTTGGCCTCGACATCTTCGTCATCTCGCTGCTTGAACCGACGTTGACGGAAGAAGATCTCGGCACGCTATTCAACTCTCTACCCCGTCGTTGCGTCGTCCTGCTGGAGGATATCGACACCGCTGGTCTGAGCCGTGGAGACGAAGAACCCGAAGATGCCAACCCAGAACCCGAGTCCAAAGACGACAAGGATAAAGACGACACCGCCAAGGACGGCGAAAGCACCACCAAAAAAGGAGACCGGCCGAGTAGGAGACAGACAAAAGACGACTGGAAAGTATCAGACCTCGCCCGCGCGCTGAAGAAGGAGGCCAAGGACGACAAGAAAGGCATCTCCCTCTCGGGCCTCCTCAACGCCATCGACGGCGTCGCCTCGCAGGAGGGCCGCATCCTCGTCATGACGACCAACAAGCCCGAGTCACTCGACGAAGCCCTCATCCGCCCCGGCCGCGTCGACCTGCAGGTCGGCTTCACCAACGCCACCCCGGCGCAGGCGACGGAGCTGTTCCAGCGCATGTACGAGGCCGACGGCGCGGTGCCCGCCAAGCGCGTCGACGGGCACGTCGCGCCGCCCTCGCACCCCGGCCCGAGCATCGTCAAGATGAACGGCTCGTCGTCGTCCGCCTCGGGGTCCGGGGCGTCCACCCCTTCGCCTCTGCGGACTTCCTTCGGACAGGGCGAAGCTGCGACTGCGGCTGCTACTGCTCCGGCGGCGCAGGAGGCGGAGAAGAAGCGCCTGTTCGATGCGGAGGAGCTGGGTCGGATCGCAGGCGAGTTTGGCGCCCTCATTCCCGACGGGCTGTTCAGCCCGGCCGAGATCCAGGGGTTCTTGCTGAAGCGGAAGAAGGACCCGCGACGGGCCCTGAAGGAGACGGCGGAGTGGGTTGAGGGGATGCGCTTGCAGAAGGAGAGCAAGACCAAAGTGCTCAAGGTGCAGTGAGACTCAAATACGTTTTATGATGGACGTTGGAATCCATATCCAACGCCACGTCCCCTCGTCACCGGCTGGTGGACTATACTCTTATAATTAGTCATTTTTTCATACTGTTTGATGATGCATGGGCATAAACAAGATACTCCCGAGGCATGGTTTGGTCTGAATCGCAGAATGAAAACATCAAATTAGGCAATAATAATTCTGACCCCTTGATATTGGGTCGTGTCTTGTGTGTGGCTTGATGTAGGTAGTGATGTGATAAACAGATTTTAGTTGGTTGTCCGATTCGGAAGACTGTTTGATGATTTGCATAAGACTGAGACTCATTATAACGGCGCAGAGGGGTACGCCCCCTCAGCTCGAGTCTCGTCAACGTGGTAACGCGGAGGCTCCGTCTGCTCAGGCAGTTCATCTCCTTCATCATAGTATGTCTCGTATCCTTCGCCTTCCTCGCCGTATTCATACGTCTCTGCATCGTCGTACTCTTCTTCCGCATAACCCTCCTCTGCTTCGCCTTCCAAGCCAGGACCAGGCGCAAACCCTTCGTCTTCTTGACCGAAGCCGTCGTCCTCATCGTCTTCATCCTCAAGACTGTCGTCTCCCGCAAGCGACATTAGTTCGTCCTGAACACCCTGCTCCGCGTCGGGGGTCTCCTCTCCCGCACCCATGGCAGTCGCAGCTGCAACACTCCGAGGTCCGTTAGCTTTCGTGACGCGATAAGCAGTTCCTTTCCTCTTCTTCTTGGGCTCCTTGAATCGTCTGCCGTAGAGCACCCGCTTCTCGGCATCGGTGAGCTCCAGGTCCGGCAGGGGGATGTGCACGCTCGACGACCCGGGCGGCGGAGTCGTATCACGGACGTCAAAGATGCCGGCGAAGTCCTCGTCCTTGAGCTTGCGGCCAAACTGGATGGCGATCATCTTGGTCTTCATGATCCCCTTGACCTTTGCCCAAGTGCCCTGGTGGTACCAGCCGCTGTTGTAGATGTCGACCTCTGACCGCTGCGGTGCCGTGGCGAACATCTTGGCGATCAACGGGTCCGTGATGTCGCAAATCTGCCAGACCTTGCCGTCGGTCCAGTAGGACTTCCCGTCAAAGATGTGGCTTTCGTGGTTGTCGCCCTGGGGCTGGCGCTGCTCCGTACGCAGGCTGCGGATGGCGTGCCACGTCTCGCCAATGTGGCCAGCCTGAAGCTTGCGCATATTGAAGATCATGGTCTGGTAGGTTTTGTAGGCCGGGTCGGTGCGCGGGTCGATGCCGTACTTGATGATGGCGTCGCGCCAGGGTCCGCCGCGGAACTGATACCCGACGTAGCCGACGCACCGCTTCATGACGTTGGCGTTTCGAACGATGGAGCCGAGTTTATTGAGGAGGGAGCGACGTGTCCAAATGGGTCGTTCCTCCATGGCTTCTTCCATCTTGGCTATGCAGGTGGTCACCTCCTCGTCGGTTCCGTCATATGGCATTTGCGGGCCTGTTGGGATGGGGTACTGATCTGCCTTCAAGAAGTAGCCAATAAGAGTTGGCAGTTGGGTATTAATGAGCTTTGTCTGTCCGGCGTGGTCGAGCTCAGATCGTACGTAGGGATTCTGTGAGTAGTTGTAGATGAATGGGAGCGTCATTGGCGTCCACACTGGTGGAGGGATGATATCCACGTTTGGTCCTTTGTCGACGCCGTCGACGAATTGGAAGTTCCTCATTTGAGTGACTGGTATAGCTGTCAGTGTGTTTCCAACATCGCAGACCGCAGGCAGACTCACTGTCGCCGGGCATAACCTGATCCATGAATCTCGAAATGAAAGGAGACTCTTTCAGGCTCCAGTGGAAATCTGCCATACCGCGGAACCGGTGAGTGTGCTTGATGACGCCGACGGCCTCCACGTCGTAATTGTCGACATTGTCTTGCATTTTCCGCCGCAGGACCTTCGGATTGTCCAGCCGCGACTTAGAGCAGATCTGCTCGCGTGGTGATCTGGACCGGGGCGCATCGGTCATTTCGACCTCACCTTCCCACGGCCCGTCCGTACCCCTCTTGCGTTTCCTGCCGGTCCGCTTCGGCACGGTCACCTTCAGCACGACATTGTGACTTGTAGCACTATGTGACATGATTGGCCTGCGGAATGGGCTCTCGGGGTTGAGATAGAAGGGGATTGTATTCCGCTCAGTGTCGAGGATCTGGCAGGTTGTCAGTACCGCCGGGTAGGTTGGATTTTCCAGTCATTGCCAAAATCTACGCACATTCTGGAACGACGAAATGCTTCCAAAGGCCTTCTCTGCTCTGTCCAGATTCATGACGATCATGGGAATCTCCACGGCACCCATGGACCGTTTGGGGATGGGGAACCGGGGCGCTGAGTTGCTGTCATGTCGATTCTGAGCGGTTGAAGATTCCTCTTGCGGCTCATTCCCATCTTCCTGGACATCTTCTGCAAGCTTGTCATTCTCTGTGCCGTCATTCATGTGTTCGTCTTCGGTGTCCATGGTGATGATTTCCGTGCGGCCGTCTTCTAAGACGCCTTGGCCTTGCGGGCGGTTGCCCAGCCGGTTGCTGTTGGATAATCTTCGATTGGCTGTAGGTGGCCTAGGATAACGAAACAGGTTATCTGAGACCGCAAGTCTTAGAGCGACTAGTTGACGAAGGTGGAGTTGCGACGATTTGCGGATGTCGCCGCGTTGAGCTCAGTGATACGTCGTTTGACTGGAATTTTAATTGCTGTTCTGAGCAACTGAGATTCTCGATTGATGCACGGTGCGAGATGTAGCACGACCTGAGGCAGGTGCTAGGTGAGTGGCTGTAGCGCAGTACAGTGTCCGAACTGTACGGGTAAATTTGCTGAGGATCTCTTCACTAGCATCATAAGGCAGTCATCTGGCGAATCCTTTCAAAACAATTGTATGCCTGCTGATTATGAGCCAGGACGACAAAAAGTTAGCTACAGCAGAAACCAGGCGACAATACTACAATGCACAGATTGGATGAGAACAGGACAGGCTGTGTTGGTTAATCTGTGATTGACATACACTGATAAGGTATGGTACGCACGCGACTCTATCTCATCCGGATTCACTAGTGACTCTTGTTCCAGCGAGACACAGTATCAGAGGAATGGAGACTGGCGCATTCGTGTTTCAGAATCCTCAGCAGATCAAGTCGTCCCATGTTGAACCCGTTCCCGAAGACCTGGGACGCTCCTGTTCTGTGATAGCCTGGACCCAGGGTGATGTGATGATGCCCACATTGTTTGGGGGCATTGAGCCCAAAGAAGGCCCTTGCAGCGGCTGCCAGGGACCTGCAGCAATCAAAATACAGTGCGTGTCTTCATTGGCACGGTACAAGCAACGGCTGCGTATGCATGTACGCTGCTGAGGTTAGGTGTGAAGTAAGGTCGCAGTCCTTGCTTTACATAGTAGTCGAGTGTATTTTGGAATAAAGCCATCTCCTGATGGAAATTCACTTCAAAATACCGAAGTGATGACTGAGTGAAGTCAGTAAACATCGGCCCTGCAGCTGCATTGTGCCGTCAGGAGATGCAGGTTTGCTGTGTAGGTATGGAGATCACATGTGGGGGCTAAGAATCCCAGGCCGAACCTCGACCTGGACGGAACGGGAGGGCAGAAACCTCCCGGATAAACCCTCTTGCCGACAAAAGAAATTGAGCTCCAGGGTCCAGCTTCGCTCGTCCAGTCGCAGACAGCGAATGTCGACATGCAATCCACATCAATGTCGAGGAGGGAGGCAGGAGCATGGAGGGGTCGCGGGCCTTATCTTACCTAAGACGCTTACCAGCCAATCAAAAGCTGTCGTATTCGCTGATCGGGCCCGTGCAGAGGTCACGGTCGCAGTCAGGTCCCTTCCACCAGGTGCAATGCAAGTGCCAGAACCAGTGCCCGTGCCAGTGCCAATCAGCGAGGTGCCATCCGTCAACACCCCCTTTCCCCATCCGTCCCTCCTTGGCTCCCGTTGCCTGCCCGCGTGCTGCTTGCTGTTTAGGTAGGTACTGCGTGCCTTACCTTACCTCACTGCTTGTGTCCGGGCAGCTGGCAGCTGTTCGATCGACTTGCAGCGAGCGCCCTGTAAATTGTAGGTGGTGTGTCCTCCTGCCGAGCCATGAGAGATGGGCGTTACAGAGCCCACTGTCGTTCCACACCCCGCCCACTTCAAGGCACACTTCAGCAGCTTCCACCGGTGCGCTGCTGTCGGGTCCGCTCCTGCAGTTGGGATCTCTCCTGGAGGTTGGAGCACCTGTCCCGGGCTTGACCAGTGTTGACGCAGAACCTTCCTTGGAAGGAGCCTCTTCACAGCCTCGACCTCTCCACTCAACCACCTCATCATACTGGACCTTACCTAGGTAGGCACCTTACCTACATAACTCCTTGGGTACGGTACCTTAGCTAAGGTGTTGACAGTTGTGGTTTGGTGTGCGTGTGTTTGTGTGTGTTGTTGTGCGTCTCTCACCTCTCCAACTCGCCTCCGGCGAATGCGTACCTACCACCTACCTACCTTACCTTACTTTGCCTTCGACAACACTCTCCAATCTACAACTCTCGTCCATTGACTTGACCGCTCGAGTATTCTTACACCCGCATCGACGCCTCCTCTCTCTCGTCTTGCTTTCGGGCGTCAATCTGTAAGGTATTGCTCTCACCCTGTCCATCATCTCTGGCCGCCCGCCCGCCGCCCCCCAACCAACCAGCCAACCCCGGGCGTCGAGGCCTGTTCCTGGCTGGCCGCCGCGCATCACTGGACCGTCCGTCTCCAGCTGTCGAGTCTGTCTTCTGCTGGGCGACGTGCTCTGGGCCGGACAACCCTCTGGCCATACCATACCGTGCCTTGCCGTACCGTGCCTCTTCGACCTTACCTTAATATTTCACCGCCGCCGCTAGCACGTTAGGGGAGACCGGCTGCTGGTCCCGCGTCGTCGTCTCACACTTCACACCTGGGCCCCGCAAACAACTTCAGCTTTACCGACGATCCAGAGCATCCCCCAACTTCGTCGCTTCTTGTCCAGAACATCTGGCTTTCTTCCTTTCGCTGCCCGATCATTTCTTCTTCCGCCGTTTTTTTGATGGGGCATAACCTCGTCGCAACGATCTCTCTCTCCAACCCGCTCCCCTAGCTGCTTCCCCTTGTCTGCCCATCACGAAGCGACGCTATCCTGACAACCCAACCCCAGCCCTTTCGCGAGCGACCGCCCTCCTTCATCGTCTCGTCGACATCGATCTGCCGACGCGCTTGCTCCAACCCCAAACTCGCCCTTAGCTGAGACCCACGCACGCTCCGTTCGCCGCGCATCGTCGAAGCCATCTCGAGACCGAGGCTGCGATAGCCCTTCGATTCCTTCGTCTTTGCATTCCATTTCGACGTCAAACAATTGACTCGATCCGGCCGATTCCAAAATCACCCCTGCTTACCACCACCGACGCCGACCATCCTGCGCCCGCAGCATATATCCTTCTCTGCCTTGGACCTCCGTCCATTGCGATTCACTGCTGCTCGCTACATTAGCTGAAGAGTCGGGCGATTCTGTCGCCCCACCGAGAGGGACTTCATCGTGACGTCCAAAATGAAGCGCTTCAGCCAGAGGGTGGTAAGTCACCGTTGCTACCCGGCCCCTGAGTCTCATCATCATACTGGACACCCTATTGACGTCCCAGCATGCCCAGCTCTCGCGCGGCAAAGACAAAGACCCCAATAAGCCCAAGAAGAATAAGGATTCCAAAGATGGGACTGCATCCCCCTCGTCGGTCGGCTCAGGCCGCGATGCAAACCAGTCGCCTAACCCGACTCCTTCATCCTCGACGACAAACCTCTCCGATTCCCGCAATAAGCCGCTGCCGCCTAACAACGCCGGCGCCCACGGCGGAGAACCGAACCAGCCGTCGCCATTGAGCAACCAGCAAGGTGCTGCCCCGGATCGCTTTGGCTCCACGGGAGCGGCCCAAAGTGCTAACGGTGGAGGTTCTCCAGCTCGCCATGGCACCCTACCGCCTACCGTCATCATCAGCCCCAGCGCTCCTGTAAGTTCTCAACCGGCACTGCTCATTCAAAGCTGTTGCTAATCTATCTCCAGCACGTCCCGCCCCCTGGTGCTGCCGAAACCATGCCACACGATCTCGCGCCTCCGAAAGCGGGCACCAAGTCGCTCATGTTCGATCGCCTCCACCAGACGCCCAAGGACGTGCCCGAGGGCCTCAGAACACCCAAGCGACAGCATTCGTCGAGATTCGATATCTCTGCTCACCGCGAGCTGGAGAAGCTTCCTGGATTCCACGAAGTTCCCCCCAACCGACGCCAAGAGCTCTTCATGCAGAAGATTGACCAGTGCAACGTCATTTTTGACTTCAATGATGCCAGTGGTGACATGAAATCCAAGGAGATCAAGCGACTCGCCCTCCACGAACTGCTCGACTACGTCGCTAATAACCGCCAAGTCATTACGGAGCCAATGTACCCTAGAGTTGTCGAAATGTTCGCCAAGAACCTCTTCCGACCCATTCCGCCCCCGATGAACCCCCAAGGAGAAGCTTTCGATCCGGAGGAGGACGAACCCGTCTTGGAGGTTGCTTGGCCGCATATCCAGGTTGTCTACGAGTTCTTCCTGCGCTTTATCGAAAGCCAGGACTTCAACACCAACATTGCCAAGGCGTACATTGACCATAGCTTCGTGCTGCAGCTGCTGGAGCTCTTTGACTCGGAGGACCCGCGCGAGAGAGACTTCCTCAAGACGACGCTTCACCGTATCTATGGCAAGTTCCTGAACCTGAGATCGTTCATCCGTCGCTCCATCAACAACGTATTCTTCCAGTTCACATACGAAACGGAGAGGTTTAACGGCATTGCTGAATTGTTGGAAATTCTGGGCTCTATTATCAACGGTTTCGCTCTGCCGCTGAAGGAGGAGCATAAGACCTTCTTGACGCGGGTATTGATACCTTTGCACAAGGTGAAGAGTCTCAGCATGTACCACCCTCAGCTGGCGTACTGCATTGTCCAGTTCCTTGAGAAAGATGCATCTCTCACAGAGGAGGCAAGTTTTGAATCCGAGGCTTCGTATAGTTGCTTGCTAACCGAACCAGGTTGTCCTCGGACTGCTCCGCTACTGGCCCAAGGTCAACAGCACAAAAGAGGTTATGTTCCTTAACGAGGTCGAAGACATTTTCGAAGTCATGGACCCGGCTGAATTCGCCAAGGTTCAGGAGCCTCTTTTCCACCAGCTGGCCAAGTCGGTTGCCAGCCCCCATTTCCAGGTTGCTGAGCGTGCTCTTTACTTCTGGAACAATGAGTACTTCTGCAACTTGGTCAGTGATAACGTTGAGATTATCCTGCCCATCATGTTTGCGCCTCTATACGAGAACTCCAAGGGACACTGGAACCGGTGAGTATTACCACAGAGTGCAAGCGCGACTAGTACTAATTAATTCCTGCAGGACGATTCACGGCATGGTTTATAACGCCATGAAGCTGTTCATGGAGATCAACCCTCAATTGTTCGACGACTGCTCCCACGATTACACCGAGCAGCAAAACAGCGCCGCAGCCAGAGAAGCCCTCCGCGAAAGAAAGTGGGCGTCAATCACCGATCAGGCCAACCAGAGACGGTCAGCCAACGGTGCGGGCGCTCCGACATCAGGTAGAGCACACGCTGGCTCCCTTTCTCGCGTTGATGAAGTCGACGGAACCGAAGACAACCAGAAGCGATTAGACTCTCTCAAGCTGCAAGATGGCGACCGCAGGGAACGTCGGCATGAGCAACAAGACTCGGTAGGATCAACCCGAAGCCAAAAATGATTTTACCCTGTTGCCATTACCCGCCTCTGTCTGGTTGTCAACCTGCGCTTGAGGATTCTCAATACCCTTTGAAACTTTGTTTTGCTATTTTTACAAAACTCACCCTGTCCTGTTCCTCAACATTGCCTTGCATCCCGCTTTAATCGCCGAATTTCAGTGCTTGTTGGAATGTTTGATTGACCAGTGTCCGATATAGGCCCCGGAACAAAACGGCGAGGAGAAAGCTGAGGCGACTGAGGAGTCATGACCTGCCTTGGCATTATTACCGAATGATTTGCCTTCAACGGGTTGAAGGACTCCAAACGGGAACATCATGCATGCGCTTAGGGATTCAGAGGATAACCGCCGGGTACGCTTCGGGTCAGGAGAGAGAGGACCACAAGCTCTAGTAGGGATGGGGCTTCGCCGCCCTCGGAACATACTTAATTTTCATGATGTCACTTTTATGTTTCCTTTCTCCTCGGCAAAGACTCAGACCTGAGCGGGACTCTTTGACTACTGGCATCGAGCCGCCCGCCCGCTGTTTAGCTGTTGAGGTGAAAAGAAACGCGGGACTCTTCTTTACTTTTTTCTACGCGGGAGGACACAAAAACGTATTTTGTCGGAAGAGGGTGACGGAGGACAGGCAAGAGTGGGTGGAAGAAAGATGGGGTGCCCCGGCGTACAGAGGCGAAACTCGGGAGACAAGCTCCTTTTTTCTTTCTGCGGCTCTCTCGGATGAACTTGACAAGAAAGTTGCGCCAGAGTGGGCGTGAGGAATGAGGGTTTTCCTCCTTGGTTTCTACCTTAGACGATGAATGAGTACAGACGTCAGACGTCACATTTAGACTTGGGTACGCTGATAGAGGTTTGACGAGCGGCTTTGTGATTGACATTATACATTGCCTTGCTACTACTGGTCTAATCTACAGTTGTCCAAGAGAGCAGAGGGAACTTTACCACCCGCCTCCTCTGCCTCTGTTATAGCCTCCCCTGCCGCGACCTCTGTACCCACCACCGCCGCGTCCATACTGCGGCTGTTGCTGGTATTGGCTGTGTTGTTGCGGCGGCGGCGGCGGCGGAGCGGGTGCCCCCCATCCGCCCATGTGTGGTGGAGGCGGCGGCAGACCGGCACCAGATGGCGGAGCACCCCAATTCTGCGGAGGCCCGCTGATGTAGCCGACAGTGGGAGGATGAGTAGGTGGAGGGGGAGGCGGCCATGCTCCTTGGAAGCCTTGAGGCGGCGGAGGGGGTGGTGGGAAGTGTCCGAACCCGCCGGCCGCGTTTGGTGGTGGTGGTGGGTACGGTTGGAAGGCGGGAGGACTATGGTGATTAGGGGGAGGAGGCGGCGGTGGCTGCGGCTGGTTGTAGCCCTGGCCCGACTCGTCGTTGTACCGGCCGCGGCCGTGGGGTGGAAGTGGTGACCTGCTCGAGTCGCCGCGGCCTCTTCTCCCGCCTCCTCGCTCACGAGATCGGGATCGGGATCTGTAGGGACTCCGCGACCGGGAGCGTGACCTTGACCTTGATCGGCTGTAGTCTCTGGAGTCGTAACGGCCCTTGCGTGGAGGGCTCTGTCGCCGATCGCGGCTGTGGCTTCGGCTGCGGCTTCGGCTGCGGCTGGGGCTCCGGCTTCTAGAATCTGGCGAGAGCCTGCGCCTCTTGAACGCGGGGGGCGAGTCGCTTCTACTTGACCGGCCGGGGGAGAAGCTGCGAGAGCGGCTTCGCGAGCTGGATCGGCCACGGCTGCGACTGTCGCCTCCTGGCTTTCCCTTCTTGCGCTGCTTCATCTTCTCGCAGAAGTTGCGCGACCAGCCGTAGTATGTCTCTCCCCCAATGACCTCGCCCGTGATCTCGTCGAGGATGACGCGCTCGCCCATCTCGCTCAGGTCCGTCGACTGCTGATCGGGCTGCTGGGGCGCCGCCGACTTGGAGTATAGTCTCTCGACGTCCGCGAGAAGGTCCTTGACTGCCTTGGCGAGAGCCTTGTCCGCGGGGCCTGGCGCGAGCTGAAGCGGCTTGATCATGTTGGGGTTCATGGCCTCCGTAGAGTTTGGCTCAAGATGCGGGAGCCAGTTGGCGGCTGGAAGGTCGAACCAAGGCGTATTCGGGTCCCCGTGCATCGAGGGAATCATGTAGGGCGTGTCCTTTGCAGGTTTGACAGCGAGGTTCGACCCTGTCTGGTTGTTCGCGCCCTCGCCCTCAGTAGCCTTGGTGACTTTACCGCCATGGGGGGCTTCCTTCACCGTCTCCCTCAAGTCTGCGATCGTGTGCGTCGAGATGTACTTTTGCTCGTCCCAGAGCGACAGGAGATCGTCCAGCTTGCGCATGTGTTTCGGGCAGTTGTGGAAGCTGGCGGCAGCGTGAAAGAGCGGCGGGAGGCTGGGCTGTAGCTCCGTCGCGAGGCGCGTGTCTCTGTCCCGCACGACGGCGTGGTAGAGAACGTCGTTGAGGATGTAGAGAATGTGCAGACGCTTGCGCTTGGAGGAGGGCTTCGTCTTGTTCTTCGCAGCACCAGCGGCGGCGGCGGCGGCGGCGGTAGCATCATCGCCTGGGAAGGATTTGGAGAGGGCGGCCAAGTATTTTCCAAGAGCGGCGACACGCGCCGGCGAGGGCGCCAGATTCTTCAGGATCCATCGCTTGCATTTCTAGAGGAGGCAGCAGGAGTTTAGTTGACCTGCGACATGTAGACACGACGGAAACGGCTATGCTTGCGGCAAGAAACACGTAGAAGAGAAGAAAATGGCGCGGAGAGAGAGGCCGTTTCAAGAGGGCATCAAACCTGAACGTTGGCGGGCGAGCACTGGTGTATCGCATCGTGAAGGAGGGTGTGGAACGTCTCGATCTCCGGCCTCGTGAGGGAGACAGGCTCTTTGCGGAAGAGCAGGGCGCTGAAGGAGGCCTTTGCTATCGCCAGCTCGGGTGTTGCCATTGCGCTTCGATTCGCATGCCTGCCGGCGCGCAGGTAGGTGAGCAGCGAATGTGTTGTTGTGAAGGGGCGAGTGGTAGTGTTGGGGATGTTGAAGTTGAAGCTACGAAGCGGGAGCTGTTAGAAAAGAGCTGAAAGCTTCATGCCAGCCAGGCACACAAAGCTGAATGCGCCGCGCAGGGCGTAAAACTGTGGCTTAGCACTTGGATCCAGCTGTTGGAGTGAGTCGGCTGGAAGTCGGGGTTCTGCGCGGCTTCTTCCGCAAAGGTGCTAGGGGACCCAGGCCGCCCAGTGCGGATTGCCACGAGGTCACTATCTTAGCGGGCAGCCCTCCGGCTACCCTTGAGGCCAAGATGCGGTAACACCTGCGGCCGGAGCGTGCGCCGTGATTTCGGAGGGATCATGGGGGCGGACTATTGCGATAGGCCATCGAGGGGCAAGTATCTACTTATTCATCCAATTGACGGAGCGATTTTGCTGGCTTGAAGCTGTTTGTGCAGCTGAGGCCTCTCGCTTGTGTTGGTGTTGGACAGAACCACCGCTGACGTAGGGCTAGTGTCCAATGATTCATTGACAGTCTGCCATCATGACCTCGTCCAGAAGACGCTTTTGCTAAAGTTACAGAAATGACCGCCGTGGCCTCCCTTCAAAATACAATAATCCAGAGGTTAATTGGTAGAGAGGCGTAAATTCTTTCGTGTCGTGCTCAATGATACAAAGCGCGGCCATAACCGACCAGGGTGTTAATTATAATACACAGACTCGGGTCCGGTCGGGCTGCTTCCACCGCCAAACGTTTCGCGCACTACGAGAAGCGGTCTCCCTTTGGACTCTTGAACGGCGTACTACTCTCGTATTTGCTCTTCTCCAATATTCTTTGTTGTTCCGTGGTCGGGGCATGGCGGGTCGGGGCGGGGTCGGAGCTGGACTCCTGGCTCGGCGAGCCGGCGGCATCGGTGCGCGGCTCTCCGCCCATGGTGGATGCGGAACCGGGCTGACTGGGGACGTTGTCGCCGTATTCCATGGACTGGGCCATCTGCTTGCGCTTGCGCTGCTCTTCAAAGCGAGCTGCGCGGTCGGCGTTGATGCTCTGCTTGGCGAAGTAGTAGGCCGTTCCGCCGGCTACATAAGTCGGCGTGTTAGCTACGGTACGAGGGCCAAGGCATGCTCAAATGACCACGTACCAACACAGAGAGAGCCCCATCCGAGCCTGCAAAACACAGAGTGAGAAGGTCAGCGTGACGGACGACGAGAGATGGTTTGCGACGAGTCAAGCGTACCAGAACGATTTGACCTGGGATCAGGCATGATGTTAGCCAGAGACTTGAAACCATATGCGACGGATAGGCTACAACTTACGGTGTTCATGTTTGCGGCAGAATATGGGGTGGACGATCAACTGGACAGATCTTGTCGCAGGGCTGAAGGGTTGGCAGGTTTGTCTGGGACGCAATGGGAGGCAGCGAGCGAGAAGAGGAAAAAAAAGTCGCGCCGTTCGGAGTTGTTTGAATGGAAGATCTAAACCTGGTCAATCGGAGCAGTTGTCCAACAGTCAGCACGCACTGTGGTAAAGTGGGATGGTCTGATAATGGAGCTCCCCGATTGCTTGGCCTTGAGCCGTGCACGCGATTTGTGGACCCCCGAGCAAGAGCGCAGGAAGGCGAGTGCAGCGTGCGGTGGTGGTTGCTCTCAATCGAGTTTAGCCGGCTTGAGGCGGTTGAGCCACAAGGTACGTACTCTTTTTGGAGGCAGCATCCAGTCACATTAGGTAAGCACGCTAGGAAGAGTCGCGCCTCACCAACGTTGAAGGGGGACAGAAGCTAGGTAAGAAGAGGATGGCGGATGGACAGCTGGGCCGAGGGAGGAGGGCAACAACGGCGAGGGCGAAAGTGATGTACAGGGGCCGCAGTGTTTACAGCGAGCGGCAGATCAGGCAGTCTGGCGGGTGTTCAGCGGGTAGGCCTAATTTCGGAACAATTAGCGTCCAGGTCCTGTCTCTCCATGCCCGTCGATTGGGTGTACGGTACTTGGTGCCTATGCAGTGTGTGCAGCATGTACGAAGTACCTACTTCGGGTTTGGTCTTGGGCAGATTCACTCAGGTACCAAGCCAGTGAACCCCGGGAAGCATGCATCCTCTCCTCCAATTCCATCCCCCTCCCCCAACCTTCTCGCAATTACTGGAACCCAGCAAGGCCAGGTACTTGGCGTGGAGGTACCTTGTCCAAGTACTATCCGTATGTGCGCCCAAATTACCTGACATCTCTTGGAAAGCAAAAGGTCGAAAAGGGCCCGCAGCTGGCTCTGGACGACCCTTGTTAGTACTGCATAGTACTCGCCGAGGGCTGGGACTCTGGAGGAGCTGGAGGGCTGTGGCAGACGACAGCCCAAAGAGGGACGGAGACTCGGCTTGGCAGGGCCATATGTCATTATGGATATTGCTACCCTAGATAGGACAGCGGGCACGGCGTACGTAGTGTACCTGACGTCGCCGTCGTAATTGAGGGCGGTGTTTGGATGGCGACGTCTCCAAAGGTCCCTCAAACCTTACGTACATGCCACCACGTACCTCCTGGCACCCGCGCAGAAGCCACTCGAGCGTGCGTGTTGTATTGTATCCGTATGTAGGATGTAGGTAGGCACATCCATCCATCGGTAGATAGGTACCTGAGCGGTTGTACCTGACGGCAAGGTACAGAGAGGTAGGCCAGCCGGTTGCCTGCGAGCAAGGTGCACCGCACCACACCCCAACCCGCACACACTACTCCATCCACAGTCCACCACGGTGCCGTCCCAGCAAAACGGCTGGGAATCTTATTGCTCCAAGGGGCCTTTGCAATGCCACTTCGTTGTCAATCACAACTTTACCACGGATACTACTGCCGCTACCTCGACTCGACCACCACCACCACAACAGAAAAAAAAAACATTCTGCCCTCCGTCCCCTCTCGCGCCTACTCCTGATCCACTGCGATTCTGACCATACATCTATGGCCATGCCCGCCTGCACGTCGAGGTAGCTTCGAAACGTCGCCCAGCATCATTATGCTCCCCAGCCCTCTTGCACGGCCTTCCATCCCACTTCGCAGAATCCCTCCGAACAGCCACGCGCATCAAACTATCGTCTTCGCTGACATACCCTCGCGATCCTCAATCCCCGACCGACAACCTCTACACCATCCCTTGACAAATTAAGCACGCCAGACTCGCCTTGTCCTAGCCCGCCGTTGATGGGCTCATGAAGATTCGTTTGAAGACGTGGGTGTAATGGGTATCAGCACCCTGAGCCCCGCCGTCCAGCTCAACTGTCATCATGCCTCCCCCCGATCAAAATGGGCCTGATGGCTCATCACTTGTTCGTTCCCCAAGCCGACAAGACCCCCTCTGACTTTGTGACTGACATGGCTGGCAGAAACCCGTCTCCTCCCTGAGAGCCAAGTTCGAGAACATGAACAAGGGCGAACCTGCGCCTGCACCTGCCCCCGCGCCTGTCCTTCCGTCGGGCCCTTCTCCGCCTCGAACAATCTCACCGGGCCCGAAGCCTGAATTCCTTCGAGATGCAGCCAAGTCTACCGAAAGCCTTCCGATACCCCCGAGACCGAGAGAACGTGGCAGCATCTCGACACCGTCTCTTCCTCCTCCGCTGCACGAGCCAGTCCCTCGATCGCCGGGCCGCTCCCTGGGCATACCTCCCACTCTGAAGCCGGAGCCCGTGAAAGCTCCCTCCGTCATGGTAGAGCCTCCTCAATCTCCTCCGAAGAACTCGGTTTCCAGATTCGCGCATGCCGAGACCCCGGCTTTCTTGAACGCTGAGTCCGGCGCATCAACTCCGACAACTCCCACTACCGCGCGGCAGTTCAAGATCCCGAGTCGGCCCCATACCCCCTCTCTCGAACCGAATCGGCGCAGCCCAAGGCTGTCGGCCTCCCAACCGCCCTCTCCCCCGCCCCCGAGAAGGTCTGGCGAGATTCGCAGAGACAACAGACCCGCCGTCCCACCGCCTATCAACCGTGCTGAAAAGCCGTCAATGCAGTCTCAGCCGAGGCCATCGTTTTTCGCTGATCATGTTGTAACCGCCAATAGACATATGCTGAAGCCGGAGACCTCTCCGTTCAGCAGCCCGCCTAGCAGCCCCGAACCGGCACCCCCGGTGCTTCCTTCGAGGCCAAAGGCGCCTGCCACACATTCGGATCCGCCGCCTCAACAGCAACGGGGAAGGACACTGGATGTTGGATTTGCACCTCCGCCTGTACACCACTCGATTATGACGAAGAGAAACCAGCGGGACCAGGAAACGAATGGATTTGTAAAGGGCCAAATCACGCCTCAAATTACTGGCGAGACCCGTCCTTCCGTACCAGCGCTGCCCGCGAGACCGCATACGACCGCCGAGCCACCACCACGGCCCCTTTCTATGACCATGAAGCCGCCTCCGCGACCCCCAAGGCCTGGTATCAACACACATCCAGTCTCCGAGGCTCAACCACCGCCCAAACGTATTGTTTCGACCCCCACAACCCATCTTCCGCCACCTACCCGGTTGCCTGGACGTGCCAATACGGTGACTGACAGAACATCAGAGAGGACCACGCCTCGCCCGCCGCCACCACAACCTCCCATCTCGCACCCTCCTCAACCCGTGCAACACCCATCGCCGCCGCCGCCGCCGGCCGAGACGACGACTGCTCTCATCCCATCGAGCAATCATTCAAAGGTTGATGTCAACGGCTCGAGCCAGTCCTTCCCGGATCCTTCCAACGTCAACCGGAGACCCCCCTATATCAAGCAAGGTATCCACGAAATCCAGACCAAGTACGATCCCAGAACATTCGACGTTTGCGGCGACCTGGTTTGCACCACTGGTCACTTGACCCGAGTTTGGAGTTTGCGGGATGGTGAACTCCTTATGAGCTTTGCCCACGGCGAGGGCATCAAGGCCACAGCAGTGGCGTTCAAACCTGGTAATAATGTCGATGAGGAAGGCGAACGCCTATGGATTGGTAACAACTTTGGCGAGCTAATGGAGGCCGACATTGCAACGCAAAGTGTGATTGCAAATAAGCCGAGTGCCCATGGCCGTCATGAAGTCATCAAAATCTACCGCCACTTCAACGAATTGTGGACACTTGATGAGACAGGCGGGCTTCTCGTTTGGGGTCCGGATGAGACCAGCACGCCAAACTTGACGAATAACTCACACCAAGCATTCCGACTACCGAAAGGCCACACCTTCTCGATGATAATTGGAGACGAGCTGTGGCATGCGACTGGAAAGGAAATTCGGGTGTTTGCTCCTAGTACAGACGGGCAGACCCAGTTTCAAGTTCTTGTGAGGCCTATGATGCAGGATACTGCTGGAGAAGTTACCTCCGGATGCCAAGTCCGGTCGCAACCTGGCAAGGCCTTCTTTGGCCATGCAGATGGCAAGGTTTCGATTTACAACACGCAAGACTTCGCTTGTCTCGGGATTATCAACTTGAGCTCTTGGAAGATCAACTCCATCGCAGGCGTCGGTGATTATTTGTGGGCGGGATTTAACACAGGTAAAGTCTGTGTTTACGACATGGCGACAACACCGTGGTCTGTCAAGAAAGACTGGCAGGCACACGACAAGAACCCAGTTGTGAAGCTCGTTTCGGACGCTTCCAGCGCTTACCGAATGGATCGTCATCAGGTAATATCTCTCGGTGCAGACAATGTGCTTCGCACCTGGGACGGCCTCCTGCAGGATGACTGGCACGAGACGGAAATGAAGGGCATGGACACCCAGTACTGCGAGTTCCAAGATCTCAAGGTGCTATGTATGACCTGGAACGCCGGTGCATCTACGCCTCACAGCCTTCGATACGCTGAAGAGGACGCGGAATTCATCAAGAGTCTGTTACAAGCAAACAGCTCACCCGATATCCTGGTGTTCGGGTTCCAGGAGTTAGTCGACTTGGAGGACAAAACCGCCACAGCCAGTAAGTTAGAACTTGCCATTCGACGAAACTTTGCTGATATTTCCCAGAACGTTTCTTGAAGGTCAAGAAGAAAGAGGGATCAGACCAGGAGCGAATGAGCCACCAATACCGCGACTGGAGAGACTTCTTGCTGAAGAGCCTCGATGATTACATGCCGCATGATTGTCTATACCACTTGCTGCACACTGCCACTCTTGTTGGCCTGTTCACCTGCATTTTTGTCAAGTCGACGCTTAGAGATCGCGTACGGAACTTGAGCGCATCGGAGGTCAAGCGTGGCATGGGCGGCCTCCACGGCAACAAAGGTGCCATCGTTGTCCGTTTTATGGTTGACGACTCCTCACTTTGCTTCATTAATTGCCATTTGGCAGCGGGTCAATCACAGGCCAACAGTCGTCACAACGATG